CCCTACCAAGTGGGACAGAAGATCTGGTTGTCTTAAGGGCCTTCCCCAGGTTGGCGCCCTGCTTCATGGCCCTCTGCCCCATTTCTAAGTTGGTGAACCTTAGGTGGCTCTTCATCTTCAACTCCCTCGCACTCAAAATCCACACCATGTTTCATGTATCACAAGTCAAGCCTCTGGTGTCATCATGCTTTGGACCCTCCTCCTGCCTGACGTATCAATGGGGCCCCAGCTTTCACCGTCAGGAGATTACTACGCTCCAGATGGTGGGGTCAAGGTCTCCACTCTGGTGGACTGGGAGGGCTATGAGTCTGAGGAGTCCCTGCCTGCAACATCTTGGACAAGAACCTCATTCAGGAGTTTCATTACACCCATCCTGACCAAACTGGAGGTCCATGTCATGTTTTTGCGTCTTGCTGTCACCTGCCATGCCCACTTGCTCACGCTCCGTGTTCACCAGTTTCTCGCTCTACTGAAGAATCCCATTCACCACTCTGCCAGATTATCAAACCCTCTTGGAAGTAGATATCCAGCGCTGCATTCACAGTCCTGTTTGATTCTTTCGTTCTCGACCCCACGCCTGTCTTCTGGAATTACTGCTCTGCCTGCTCCCCATCTGTTCTCGTTTTGCCTTTCTGATCCTTTTGTTGACTACTTTTTCATTCATTCAACCTTTATTCACACAGGTTAGTCCCATTGAGCCTCAGGGACTCATTTACCAGAGACCTGATTTTAACAAAGAATGAGTGTATATACAAATATACTATGTATATATAGCATGTACACTTTTATATATATATATATATATATATATATATATATATATATATATATATTCATTCAACATTTATTAATACAGGTTAGTCCCATTGAGCCAACAGGACTCATTTACAAGAGAGACCTGGATTTTAACAAAGAGTGATGACAACAGTGGATAACAAACTGTTTTTCAGTTGTAAAACAAACAACAAACAAAAACCTTAAATTTGTATGAATCATTTGTGAATGTGTATTGTTGTTGTTATCACTGTCTTATTATCTTGTGCTCTGGTCCAGTCTCTTCACAGACGATGTGTGTGAGGGTGGACATGTTTGGAGGTTGCTGTGTTGAAGCTCCATGAATCAGCCTCTCTGCATTTCTCAGCACCTGAGTCTACCTGGATAAATAAAGGTAAATGGAAAAAATAAAAAGGCAGCACGGTGGCGCAACTGGTAGAGCTGCTGCCTCTCAGCGAGCAGGTCCTTGGTTCAAACCCCGGTCCAGGGGCCTTTTTGGGTGGAGTTTGCATGTTCTCTCCGTGCATGCGTGGGTTTTCTCCGGGTACTCCAGTTTCCTCCCACAGTCCAAAAACATGCATGTTAGTCTGATTGGTTCTAAATTGTCCCTAGGTGTGAGTGAGAGACTGAATGGTTGTTTGTCTCGTTTGTCTCTATGTGGCCCTGTGATGGACTTGCAACCCGTCCAGGGTGTACCCCGCCCCCTGCACAGTGATTGCTGGACATGGGCACCAGCGACCCCCGTGACCCAAAATGGAATAAGCGGGTAAAGATAAAGATAATGGAAAAAAATAAAAGTTTAAAATGGAAATACTCACATCATGAGGCCGAGGTTGTGTGTGTGACTTGCACATTCCTGAGAGTGTGTGTGTGACGTGCACGTTCCTGAGAGGCCACAGACAGAGCAGCTGCAGCTTTTGTTGAGTTCCTGTAGTCCTGCAGTTTTCAAGCTGAAATGAAAAAGCATCATGAATATGAACTTTACAGTCTATAGTTACCTGTTCATATAAACACATGGAGGTGTCTCACCTTGTGACTGACAATAAAATATGTACATTTATGAACTCTAATGAACTTATAATGATGCTCCTACTCTTTGAAGGTGAACCCATGGTACCACACCATCTCTCAGCCGGACAGTCTGATCAGTTTGATCAAAATCCTCCAGTTTAAAATCCTCACTGCTCAGATGAATCCTCCTCAAAGATACTTCCTCCTCTTCCTCACATCTTTTTCTTTGGGAAACCTTCAAAATGAAAACAGGAGATTTGTGTCTACACAAAAACTTTGTACAAAGGAGGTCAAGCTTATTTTCTATTTCCTATATTCTCCCTGGTTTTATTTTTTTATTTCCTAGAACTTAAACAAAACTCCAGTTTTGATGCATATCTGTTGATAATGAACCAAAGCTACTGAAATAGTGAGTATGATTATTAGAAAAATATTTCTTTCATCAGATCTCAGTTAGCTTCATTGCAGCTGAACACCGTGTTACACTGAACATCACATCAGCTGGTGGACATAAATACAGTACAGTAATATTCTATTCACAAAATACTAACAATAATATGTTCATCTTACTTGTGAAAAGTTATCACCAGAGACCTGACGTCAACAGTCTGTCGATTAGAACAGAAATAAGCTGCAAAGTGCTGAGACATCTTCTGCTTTAACCCAAAAGGACGACCACTTAAAGATGGCGGCCGTATTTCCTATGCCGCAGCAGCCAACGAGGGATCTAGTATTTATATGATATCCATCCATCCATCCATTTTCTTCCGCTTATCCGGGGTCGGGTCGCGGGGGTAGCAGCCTAAGTAGGGTGGCCCAGACTTCCCTCTCCCCAGCCACTTGGTCCAGCTCTTCCGGGGGAATCCCGAGGCGTTCCCAGGCCAGCCGAGAAACATAGTCCCTCCAGCGTGTCCTGGGTCTTCCTCTGGGCCTCCTTCCGGTGGGACGTGTCCGGAACACCTCACCAGGGAGGCGTCCAGAAGGCATCCTAAACAGATGCCCAAGCAACCTCAACTGGCTCCTCTCGACATGGAGAAGCAGCGGCTCTACTCTGAGTCTCTCCCAGATAGTGGTAGGCCTCATCAGCAACAACGATGAGTCACTCTACAGGAGCGAGGTGAGCCGGCTGGTCTCCTGGTGCAAACGCAACAATCTCTTGCTGAACACAGAGAAGACCAAGGAGATTGTTGTGGACTTCAGGAGAACTCAGACAAAACATGCTCCACTATCCATCAACGGTGTTGTTGTGGAAAGGGTGAGCAGCACCAAGTTCCTGGGTGTGCACATCTCTGAGGACCTCTCCTGGACCATCAACACAGCAGCAGTGGCCAAAAAGGCTCACCAACGGCTCTACTTCCTCCGCAAGCTGAGAAGAGCGAGAGCCCCCACCCCCATTATGACAACCTTCTACAGGGGGGCCATCGAGAGCATCCTGATGAGCTGCTCCACTGTGTGGTACGGGGCCTGCACAGCATCCTGCCGCAAATCCCTCCAGCGGATCGTGAGGACAGCTGAGAAGATCATTGGCACCTCTCTCCCCTGCCTTCAGGACCTCCACAGCTCTCGCCTCAGAAGTAAAGCCCTCTGCTGGGTGGGAGATCTTGACCACCCGCTACACTGCTTCTTCAACCTGCTGCCATTAGGGCGGAGACTGCGTAGCCTCAGTTCTAGGACCAGCAGACTGTGGAACAACTCTGTCCATCAGGCCATGAGGATGCTGAACTCTCTGCCTGCCCCCCCTCAGCCCCCTCTCCCACTT